AGATCTTTGACTTTGATACTGTATGGATGACCGGTGACCTTCATGCATAATAAAGATCTTTGACTTTGATACTGTATGGATGACCGGTGACCTTCATGCATAATAAAGATCTTTGACTTTGATACTGTATGGATGACCGGTGACCTTCATGCATAATAAAGATCTTTGACTTTGATACTGTATGGATGACCGGTGACCTTCATGCATAATAAAGATCTTTGACTTTGATACTGTATGGATGACCGATGACATTCATGCATAATAAAGATCTTTGACTTTGATACTGTATGGATGACCGGTGACCTTCATGCATAATAAAGATTTTTGACTTTGATACTTTATGGATGACAACTTCTTTATTTTATATTCTTATAATTTTATTACAGTAGAGGGCGGTGGGGTAGCCTGGTGGTTAAGTGTTCGCTCGCCGGGTACGATGTGTGAAACACATTTCTGGTGTCACCCGCCGTGATATTGCTGAAATATTGCTAAAAGCGGCGTAAAACTAAATTCTCTCACTCTTTATTACAGTAGAAGAATCTATACCGAAAGGTCGCAACATAATAAAGAACAATATCCCTGTGCACTCCCGATACCCACTGCTGCCTGCTCACATCGTAGCTCATAGATCGTAGATTTCAAGAGGTTGTCCAAATTATTTCCGTGGACATTATTCCCCTTCGAGTGAGTGAGTGAATTTATTTCTTCCCCGCACTTAGCAATATTCCAGAAAAATCATTGTATCCATGTGGGGAATCGAACCCGGGTCTTCGGCGTAACGAGCGAACGCTTTACCACGCACGCACACACACACATACACCATGCGTGGAGCTGGAGATGAACTCGCAGGGAATGGAAGTAGCAGGCTCTTGATGTTGGTGACATACGTTCAGCAGGAATGTTCGAATGTTCAGGTACCCTGTCATCCAATGACACATCATCCTCACCAAAGGCTTTTACTCCTGTTCAGGTAATGGGATATAATGATACTTCATATGCCTGACTTTACCAAAGTCAATACCGGAGATGTATAGTCACATCCAGAAACAGCATGCAAAAAGGCCAACGATTGACACTGATGATAACCAACGCTGTGCTTCTCGTATTGGTGTTGTATGAGGTTTTGTCTTCATGTATGCATGGCATTGGGGACTGACCTGGCGCATCAGCGAAACAGAACATCTGTATGATCTGAAACAATATGGACTGTGTTGTTTGTATCAGATAACTTGACTGCCTCTCAAACAATTACAAGAGCTGTATACCCTTTACTTCCTGTATGTTGTACGCAGATCCTTAAGGTATTCAGATAAATAGGTTGATAATACTCTGTTATTCTTGTTGGCGAGAAAACTGATGTTTCGGGTTAACCACCACATCAGTATCAATGTCTTTTATTAGTCTGCGACACTAGAACTGCTCAAGTTCATTAGTTATCTAAACTTCATCTCCTAAGTTCTTCCCGGTGATGCTGTCTTGAATGGCATTACCAATTCTGATCACGCCGGCCATATTGACTCGAACATCCAAAATCAGGTCTGCGGAAATGTTTCCAAGCTGTGAACTTTCTCCACCTTGAAATGGGTTATGGCTATGATATACACACAGACAACTAACACAAAGTCCAGAACATTTAGCAACAACCTTGCAGTCCTCGATTCTTGTAGTTTATCCTTTGCACGTTGTGTGTTGTTGTTTATAACATCAGTGATATTTTGCTCGAAAATGTTGCTGTTTGACTTCCAGGTCAGTAAACACCTGGTAAACATATGTACTTCTTTAAATACAATTCTGCAGTGTTTCATTGTGACTGTTTGAACAGTCATAGTTGTCCTCAATTTCAGCTCCATCATCTCCTTCAGCAAAATCTTTATATTATATCACCAAAGATGATAAGTTGGGGTTTGGCATTTCCATGACATGAGTTGGTGTGTGTGTGTGTGTGTGTGTGTGTGTGTGTGTGTGTGTGTGTGTGTGTGTGTGTGTGTGTGTGTGTGTGTGTGTGTGTGTGTGTGTGTGTGTGTGTGTGTGTAGTCGAGCACCGTTGTGTCGAACTCTGATAACTCGATATCTCGATTGTCTCGATTTAACATCTCGGTCCCGGCAAAATCCTTCATAATTTATCATTATTCAAGCTCTTTTAACTCGATACGGATGTCTCGATATTTCGGATATCTCGATATAATTTCATGGTCCAAACAAGCAAAATTACCCTTTTAACTCGATATTTGCAAAGAAACTCGATATTCACCTACCTTTCATGGGCAAGTATCCCTCTGAACTGAGGTTGTTTCCACACGTTTACACGGTGCGGCATGAATCAAAGGGATGCGGTAGTGTAAACTAATTAGGGCTAATTGAGTTGAAGGTGTCACTTGTTTGTTATTTAATTAGGATTAATTAAGAAGGATTTAATTAGGAAGTACTCACTGTTACGACTAAACACTACTGATAACGGATTATAGTTTCGAATCAAAACATACTGAGAAGCGTTTTTTGATATGTTTATGCCCTTCATAGTGATATGTGATGATATGCCCTGGTCGGATGTCTCGAAGTTCAGGATAACTCGATATTTTTCTTGGTCCCATGAATATCGAGACAACGGTGTTCGACTGTATACGTGCTCGCTGGAAACTGAGGACATGGAGAAAGATCTACTGGTCCGATGAAAGCAGATTTCTGCTGCATCATACAGATGGGAGGGCACGACTTTGGAGGCAGAGAGGGACTGCATATGATCAGAGGAACTTTCAAGCTGATGTTTCATTAGGGGGTGGATCTGTCATGGTGTGGGAGTGTTGTTCCTATGACTGTAAAACTGACCTCATCACAGTTCACGGGACATTGAATGGACAGAGGTACCAGAACTTGATCCTGGACGGTGCTGTTGTGCCTCATTTCGATAACCATGCTCTCGTCACACGTTCAGTCTTCATGGACGATAATGCCAGACCAAATCGTGCTCGAGCTGTTGTTCAGCATCTCCAACACAACGCCATTGAGACACTACCGTGGCCAGTCAGAAGTCCAGACATGAATCCTATTGAGCATTGTAGGACATTTTGGGACGCAGGGTGAGAGCAGTTCAGACCCTTCAGGAATTGACCCATGTATTGCATGATGAGTGGCAGCAGATCCTCCAACAGAGAATCAGACGGCATGAGACGGCGTGTAGAAAATGTTATGCAAGTGCGAAGCGGTTACATCAGATACTGAGTTGGGCTGTCATTGTGGACCTTACTAGTGCGTTCGACATTAGTGAAATTCTGAACTGTGTTGTGAGTCTGCTGTAACGAACGACCCCGGCAGCCATACTTATTTCACCTTATTTTACGGTGATTTTAGTGAACTTTAGTTTGCCACAATCAAACCCTCAATTAGTGCTCAAATTCGGTCTTATGTTGTCAATTTTCTTACTGATCGTTCACATGACGCTATATCAACAATTTAATGTGCTTTAATGAGCACCATTTTTATGAGGTTGAAGATCCAGTTTTACTTAGTGAAAAAAGTGGGTGGTGTGATATTTATGTACATTTGTATATATGTTAGCGTCAATAAGGAAAGTCAGTCAATAAGCTTACTGACTAACCTGAGTTCTCTTATTGACTAGGCAGTATCTTATTGACTAGGCAGTATCTTATTGACCAGGCAATATCTTATTGACTAGGCAGTATCTTATTGATGAGGCAGTAACGCTACTGACGGATCGTCCTTATTGACGCTAACGGTAACACACCAACACACACTCACGCACGCACAAACACAGAGAGAGAGAGAGAGAAAGAGAGAGAGAGAGAGAGAGAGAGAGAGAGAGAGAGAGAGAGAGAGAGAGAGAGAGAGAGAGAGAGAGAGAGAGAGAGAGAGAGAGAGAGAGAGAGAGAGAAATGCTTTGAAAACATCTTGGTGTAAACATTTACGTAGAATCTAATGCTTTCCTGAAATAGTTTTGTAATATATTCTAAAATTCTGGAAATATTTACTCTCTTCAATTTGTAAAGTTCCAGAAGTCTTTCTTGAACATATAGTTGCCCTGTTTTGAACACATCATCATAAAAATTTCAAACCATATTTCGATACACTGTCATAAACAGTATCAGAAAAATTCTGAACTGGTGTTCCTATTTTACAAACATAATTACCATCCAGTTATAAAGTGTTATGAACAGGTAATTAAGCTTATGGACAATTTACTTCCACTTGGAGACATATCTTCATCAAGACAGGCAGTTAGTGCAAAACACAAAATAGGGCCAGGTAGAGTGTCAGCAAAATATAATAGCCTTAAGACCAATCTCTTGTGTACTCTTGATGTGCAGTTGATGCTCGAGACGTCCGGTGTAACTGAATACTATTGATCTGCTATGTATTCACGTAAAACAGTTGCTTACCGTGATGTGAATCGAGATGGTAAGATGTAGATTCAACAAACAGCAAAACTACTAAAAGGAAAACATTGTCTACATTACAAGAGGACAGACAATTCAAGATCCAACATTTCCACCGTGTCGATTTCATCTATTATAATCGTATAGATTTAAACCAAATTTTACAGTACACGACCCCACTTTTATATTGTCAGACTCTGTGAATAAATGCAAAACATTGCGTAATCAATAATTTAAAATGTAACATAAGATATGACAGCCTTTGTTATTACGGATGTACTTCCCAAACACTTCTCTATACAGCCACAGCAATCAATGGCCATAGGCTGTCTCCCACAGATTTGAGCTCAACTGTCCTCTAGAACTGAAATGACATTATCATGGAACTATACCTACTCTGCCCATCGATTGATGTGTCTGGTATTTGGTGTTTGACAAACACTTGAAAGTTCCTCACACGTAAAAGAATGATTCAGATGTAACTTTCAACTTTTATAGATGTTTTTTTGTTATCATTTGCATGCGCATATAGTCTTGTATTCAAAATCTGTTGTCTCATTTATAGGGATAAATACATTTGACTTTAAAGTTAAACGCAAGTTGACCACAGTTAGAGCTCCAGTCCTCATGACTTACTGTTGTGTACTGAAGATGGTAAGCTGCCTGAATATGATGGTGTTCTCCACGCTGTTGATGGTGTTCCTTCTTTCTGCCAGCGTAGAAGCTGCTGCTGCCACCAGGTCCTCCCTCTACAAACTTCACACCCCGACCACAAACGCCCTCCCCGAGAGCATCCCCGAGAGCATCCGGTCTGTGACTACCACTTCCGTTACTGAATGCCTTGCCCAGTGTGTCGGCGTCAACCCCTGCACCGGGGTAGTCTACTGCCGTGACGACGACGTCTGTTACCTGATGACTGCGACACCTGACAGCGTCCCCAACGACACGTGTCGGGCGTATGCGAAGGTGGATGCTGGGACACAGGTCAGTAGCTTTAAAGGCCAGGGTTCAAACCTATACACATATGGGGTGTGGCCTCCTTGCCTTGTGGAAGCTGTCTTTCGATGGAAAGCGATGCAGTATTCAAGTAGATATCACAAAATTGACTTACCGGTTCATGATGAAATTAAGCCATAGTGTAAAGAAGTATGTTATGAAGACTCACTGTAAAATGTATGTATGCAGACAGCCTACAAATCACATTTTGAAAAGATATTTCTCATTTTCAAATCCAGATTTGAGTTTCCCAGGGGAAACAAGCCTGTGAGTTGTCTAAAAGTTTCATTCAGGGTTTCATATTTCAGGGAGGTTGTGAAAATGACATCCTCCCCACTCCCATGGCCCCATGCTGTGCAGGATTAGGGCTGTACATTTGTTTGATACTGACATCACCATTGTGTTGAAGGTTTTATTTTCAGAAAATAAGTAAACTTTGAAATTTCATATATGCTAATCAAATTAATCTCTTTAGTCATCAACATATGTTGTGAAAGGGTTGTCGGACATTTACTATAAGGCACATGTTTATTCTTTTAGTAAATTCCAAGGTTAACCTTTGACATCGCCAGACTCTTACCAGGCACCCATAGCCCTTACAGTCCTGTCACTCATGGGTAGATAACATCTACACTGCTGAGGGGTAGCCAATGGGAGACTCATTGGAAACCCATGGGTTTTTTTAGGTTTGCACCCCGGCCTTTATTTAACACTCACTCATACCATCATCCACTGATCTGCATGTGTGGTGAGAGTCTCTTACGAATTATACACAACTGTCACATTTCTGTCATTCACCTACAGGTCATCGTGTAGCCCTGTTTTTAGAGCGTTCGCTCGTCACACCGTAAACCCAGGTTCGATTCCACACATGGGCACAATGTATGAAGACCATTTCTGATGGTCCCCACCATGATGATTCTGGAGTGTCGTTAAACGTGGCGTGAAACCGACCACTCATTCTAACCTGTCATGTACTATTACTTCCTTTCGCTGAATTCGATCTCCCGGAGAAAAATGAAAACAGTTACAACTCTTCCGTATCTCATCGACTTCTGGCCTTTTGGATCATCAGTTGTTCCGTTTATCCCAGTCAGTACCCTCTTGACACATTTAGCAACATCACAGGAAATACGTAGGTTGCGAAAGCGATTGAGTGCGATTTTACGCCGTTTTTAAGCAATGTCACGGTGGGGGACACCATAAATGGGCTTTACAAATTTTTACCCGTCTTGAGAATCGAACCCGGGTCTTCGGCTTGAGGAGCCAACATTTTAACCATTAGGCTACCGAACCATCCCCTTGTGGATTAAAAAAGGCGATCAAATCGTTAATGAATAGAAATATTATGCAGCAACGATAGGTTGGTTGTTAAAATCTGAAAGAAGATCCTCTTATTGATCCAATTGGGGAAGTGGAGAATCTCACCCAAGTGTCTACTGATATCAATTATATCAACACGAGTTGATAAAATTACAAATATCTGAGGCTTGCCGAGGATATTTTTACCTTTATCAACGAGTGTTGATATAATTGTAGATATAATCAGTGGACCAGAGAACGAGATTCTATTTATCATCAAAAATCATTCTTTATGTAGTTTTCAATGAAAAATGTACATCTCTCAAACACTACTACCATTAGACTTGCAGTGCAGCGATGTCATAGCATCAAGTTCATGACGTCATAGCATTGTCAGAGCATTGTACAAAATCTACTGTCAAAACGATATCTCCTAGTATCGTTTGATCTCACACAAGCGATATCTCCTGTGGAACACAGTTTTAGATGATAAATATATATTCACGATATATTTACGACATATTCTAGATATCTCCTAGGAGATATCGTTTGATCTCACACAAGCGATATCTCCTGTGGAACACAGTTTTAGATGATAAATATATATTCACAGGCGGGAATTTCGAACTCATGTGCAAATGGTGTTGCACCACTCAGCATGGTCGCCGGTTGCAGTTGCCCCCCCTCGTTTACAGGGACACTCTGTGAGACCCGGATCGAAGGTAATCCTTTTTTATGTATACCGTCCTTGACTTCAAAGGCAGCAGGTTGTTACTACGCGTTAAGTGTTCTTGGCAAACCGGATTCGAATCCCGACATGGATACAATGGGTCAAGCCTATTTCTTTCTGACGTCATAGTAGGGAGATACTGCTGAATGTCGCACTTTACAACATATACTGCATTTAATTTGGGGTGTTCCTTGCTACCAAATCTTGCTATCGTCATACTTAAATAAGTAAATGGCAAATGTTTTCACGGTATTTGATGGCCTAACTACGAGTACATTTATCAGAGAACACAACGGTTCTTACGTGTATGTCTTCTGAAAAACAAAACATGTCAATGCATACGTCATCAACCTCCAGGTTGACTCCTTATAACGAACATCAGTAGTGACTTGAAGACAAAGTGGGAAGACCAGGGCATTATCCATCATGGTCATTCGATACTGATGATACTGGTATTTCAATTTGTATTTCTGTCCAACATTCTGTATCCCCCACCTAACGTTATCCATTACAAATGACCGCACTGTAACAGTACTGTTGCAGACTGTACAGACGTGTCCCAGTATATTGGTAACCCTAGTGGCACCTACACTGTCTGGTCTACCATCTCCGCACAACCGTTTGACAGCTTCAGGACAGCTTTTGACAGGTCCTCAATACTCCATCAATACAAAACTGATATTCTGAGTACTTTTCTGTTACACATTCTGTATCCCACACGTAACATCACTAATGACCGCACTGTAACAATACTATTTCCCTGTTGCAGACTGTACTGACGTGTCCATGTACGTTAGTAACCCTAATGGCACCTACACTGTCTGGCCGACCAACTCCGGACAACCGTTTGACTTGGAATGTGAAGGAGTCACTACTATGATCATGTTCAGGGACAAATCCATCAGTGGCTGTGAGGCGGCGCCCGTGACGTACCTCAACGTTCCCTGGGCCGACTACAAGTCTGGTTTCAACCACTCCAACTGTTACATGTGGCTGGGTCTGGAGAAGATACATGCTCTGACCAGTGTCCGACCCTACGCGCTCTACATGTCCTTGAAGAAGTTTGACAACACTCCCGGACAACTGTCTTACGACGCCTTCTCCGTGGGTGACGAGGCCTCGGAGTATCAGCTGTCGGTGTCGGGGTTCACCGGGGATGGCGTTATCGGAGACTACTTCAAGCTGGGGGACCCAGCTACAACCCTGGATGGGAGTCACTTCTGTGCCAAGGATCACTGCAACAACTCATCCAACCCTTGTGCCGAGTATCATCGTGGAGCCTGGTGGAGCAGGTTGGATGCCTGTCAGCAGAATCCTCACCACCAACGTGATATTGTATGGGTTCTTGTTGATGGTTCCCCACACGAATGCAAAAGTATTTATATGTTCATATATCCTGCCTAACTCGTTGTTCCCGCCAGATGTCAGCGGGCGTAGTGTAGAGCTGCAACACTTCCCACATTCTCTCTATTCTGGTTCTCTCTCTCTGTGTCACGGCTATGTATGTATATATTGGAGCATGTTGTGTGAAGCTGTTTGAAAAGAACGTTAAACAATCCTAGGACGATGTGAAATTACTTGCTGACGATTCCACTGAAGGAGATTGCAAAAGTTTCTCCATGTATATAAACCCGTCTGACTCACTGTTCCCAGCAGACGTCAGGAAGTTATACAAAACCATATATTTTCCCATTGACTGATATGGTAACATTATTGGTTTAAAAATTTTACTAAGCTATCAACAGCTATTACATGTACATGTGTTCATAGTCTGGCCTTAAAGAAGCACAGAAATATATAACATGACCACCTCAGTCAGCTCCTTTTTCATGTATAAAATGACCAACTGCGGTTCCACACAAAATGTCAACCGCTTGAAATTACCTGTGGTACATTAAGCTTAAGTCATCATGTCAAAAAAAGACAGCAGTAAATTTTAAGAAATATGGTCAGTTATAATTATTTATGTATTTACATCGATGAAGCACAAAAATCTTACACAAAATCACCCATTCGCTGCTGTCAGATGATTCAGTCCGCACTGAAGGCCGATTCTGATTTGTGTTGTCACGCATTTCTGGTCACTGCAACCCTCCCGAGTTCACGATTATTTATACACATGCTCTGTGAAGCTGGTTGGAAAGACGTTATAGAGTTCATGTATCAACAGTAATCGCTTAAGTGGATATTGTTTTACGCCGCAGTCAGACACATCTGTGTCTTGGTGTTTGTTTTTCGTTACCTCGGCGATTTATGATTATTGAAATTTGCAGCTGTGATGCTTATAATGGTTATTGTCTTCGTGTTGACCATTTGTATTGCCCTACAAATACATTTTCCTGTGTTACCATTGTAAACTAGAAGAATGTTTTGCAAGCATTTTTAAATTCTTTTAATAAAATTGAATATTTTGGAAACAGCAACTTTTTCCAGATCAAATTTTCATAGTAAGCCCATATTAGAGTGAATACGTTGGGGTTTAAATTGTATTTCAGTTTGGTATCTCAGTTATGTCGGGGGGTGTAGAGTTGAAATAAGTAAGTAATGAGGGGAAGGGAAAGTTTGTGTTTATATAATTCCAGATAGATGCAGGTCGGGTGTTTTCACGAGTGTAGACATCAGGCTGCAAATAACCAGGGTCAATTATCTGGGTCGAATCTTGGGTTTCCTTCCAGGATGTTTTCATCAGATCTCGCCACCCGTTTGAATTTCACCAATGTATGAGTGTCCCTCTAATAATTCTAATTCTGACCTGCCTAGGCCTCAAGCTGTCTGTTCAGCTGAGTATCATATGTCCCCATCCGTTCAAGAAACGAGTACATGTTGTTATGTAAAATCAGAAGCAAAATGAGCAACACCAAAACAAAACATCCCTATTCGCTTGTGTTTGTGTAGAATCTACATTTCGTAAAATTATGCGTTTAATCTGCAAAGCTGTCTGTTGTCTGTGCAAGGT